TCCCAGCCCTTGGCGTCAATATCAACCCCTCAGCGGCTGCCGAGATATAATGGCATCAGATGGGTTCCGGCCCCTGGACGAGAAATTTCTGTTGGAGTACCTCAAGGCCACCCCCGTTTTAGCAGAGAAGCTTGGGAACCAATTCGAAGACTTGCAAATCAAAGAAGTTGGTGATGGCAATCTCAACTTTGTCTACATTGTTGTTGGCCGCTCTGGCTCCTTTGTCATCAAACAGGTTAAAAAAAAATCACCTTTTTTCTGTCCTTAACATCTTTCTCTTCTCTTCTATCAGTCTTTTTTGCTTTTTTTTTTTTTCTTTTTCAATTATTTCCATCTACTTTAATTGAAGTTATTAGTCGGTTTATTTAAGTCCCTCCTAAACCATGTTTTCTTTTTGCTGTTCTGATCCGTGTTGGCGAAGGAACTGTTGAATACTAGTTATGAACGATGTTGTGCTTCCGTTGATTTGTTAAAAATTTAAGCTTTACACGAGAATAGGAGTAACTTATTTGTACTCTTATTGCAAGATGAATTTATTGTTGCTGTGGCTGACTTGAGAGTGGCAAGCATTATAGCCCGATTTTTTGTTTTTTGCTGATTTCTAGATACTGGACGATGCTTCTGTGCTGCAATTTGTGCATCTTCTCAACTAATTATGGAGTAATAGATTAGAAACTAGTATATAAGAATGTGAAAATTTTGAGGTACAGATTTGGCTCAAGTTTTGAAGCGAAATGCCAGGGTTAGACTCTTGTAACTGTCACTTTGCAGCACCTAGCCCCCTTTCCCCTGAATGTGCTCGAAAAATAATTAGAAATATAAACTTGGTTATGGCACTCAATGGTTTTGCGGATAAATGGTTCTCCCTCCATCTGTGGGTGGGAAATCCGTTTTTCTTTTCTTCCGACGTTTTCAATGTATTTTGCATCTGCAGGCTCTTCCGTATATCCGTTGTATTGGGGAATCATGGCCAATGACAAAAGAGCGTGCTTATTTTGAAGCTAGGACACTGAGAGAGCATAGGCGTTTGTGTCCTGATCAGACTCCTGAGGTCTATCATTTCGACCGTGCAATGTGTCTGATAGGCATGCGCTACATTGAGCCACCTCATATAATACTCAGAAAAGGACTGATCGCTGGCAAAGAGTACCCATTGCTTGCAGAACACATGTCGAACTTCATGGCTAAAACTCTTTTCTTCTCCTCTCTTCTTTACCTTACCACTACCGAACACAAGCATGCAGGTAAAAGATCTTGATGGTAATTAGGTTAATCTAGGCATTTTTTTTATCCTCTAGATGATGGAATTAACCTTTCATATGTGTTCTCCTCAAGTATTAGTTGCTCCCTTGTCCCCTCTCTTTGAATGGTGTGTTTCAGCCATTTAGTTTGTTCTACAAAAAAGAACTTGAAGAATTATCCAACTTAATTAAAATTACCGTCCCTTATAGTAGCTCAGTTTACAAACAGTTTTTAATCAAGAGATCTGATACTGCACTATACATTACGTCAGTATGATCTTCTGCCAAACCTTTGATTAGCACACTTAATCTTTGACTTGGAGTGTCAGTTGCCAACATTCTGATTTGGTCCATTTAGATTTTAGTTGATTGTGCATTTGGTAAGTATTTGTTGGTTATCAAAATAAGAAAAGAAGTGAAAAGAAAAAGGATTTGTTGGTTATCAAAATAAAAATCATTATGAGTTTGTTTGGATAAGAGTTTATTTGGATGATTTATTTGAGATAATTACTGTAACACTTTTTGTGATGTGATGTATGTGAGATAAAAAGGTGATTGGGAAGATAAAAAGGTGGTTGAAATTTGTGAAGTAAATTTTTTTATTTGAAATCAAGCCAATCCAAACAAACCCATTGTTGCTCAGCATTTCTAATGATTATTGACCATATAGACATGTTTTCTTCTTGTCTGTAATTCATTTGTCGCCTAATGCTTTATGCAGTTGCTGAATTCTGTGGAAATGTGGAGCTTTGCAGACTAACTGAGCAAGTGGTTTTTTCTGACCCTTACAAGGTCTCTCAGTATAACCATTGGACATCTCCTTATCTTGATAGTGATGCAGAGGCAGTTCGGCAAGATAATATATTGAAGCTTGAAGTTGCAGAGCTGAAGTCCAAGTACTTCTGGAACCAGTCTACTTCTCATTAATAGCATTCTTCTTGTAACAAACCTCTTTTTACTTATCATAATACTCTTCTTTGTGATTAAGTTCGCTTTCTAATTTGCATATGCAGATTTTGCGAGAGAACCCAAGCTCTCATCCATGGTGACCTTCATACAGGTTCTATCATGGTTACTAGCAAGTCTACTCAAGTTATAGATCCTGAATTTTCTTTCTACGGGCCGATGGGATTTGATGTTGGAGCTTTTATTGGAAACTTAATCCTGGCTTATTTTGCACAAGATGGACATGCAAATGAGGGAAATGACAGAAAGGTAAGTCCAAGTTCTTGTTATTGGAAGCTTTCTAAGTTCTTTACTACAGTTTGTTTTTTTCCTTTGTCATTCATTATCTTATTATTCTATTCTTCTTAGTGTTGGGTGTTTGAAGACATTTAGTTTGTTCTTTCTGCCTGAAATTTTGAAATGGCTTATAAATATTGGGTTAACTTCCACAACTCAAATGTGAACTGTTGTGCCCTGTGGATCTCTTCTGAGATAGCGTTCTCAGTCACCCTTGTTTCTAGTACCTTGGCTAGTTAAACCATGCTCGTTTATTTTTCCCAACGTTCAAGTATTACTTGCCCTTTGGCCTTGTAGTGATTTTCGTGGCTTTGGCTATAAGACAGCTCTGGCCTACCCCTGCTGTGGGAGGGGATGGAATGGCTAAAAAATTGGGGGATTAAAGTTAACATATGTATCATATATAGGCTTTCTGCCCAATCTGCTTGTGTCTTTTTTCTGCTAAAATATTTGATGCAAAGCCACTGAATATACATGAGAGAGAGAAAAAGGGAGGGAGAGAGAGAGCGCACAGAGGGCATGTAGCAATCAAAAAGGTTTTGACTTGTTGATATGCGACCATGGTTTGAAGTTAAACTGAACTATGGCTAACAATCTGAATTAATGGTGCGTGCGGCCCCATTAACCTGTATTGACTGCTGAAAGGTGCTGCTTTTATTTTGGTTTCTGTTTTTGTTTTCTTGTTAGAATCACTGCAAAAATATTGGCTATTCAGATACTGGATAAGCTCCGTGGTTGCTCCTAGAATGCTGCAAACTCCAGATATTGATTAGCCATGTTGTTGCAAATATTACCCTCTTGGCACTCAAAGGAATGAAAGACAAAAAAGATTAACCTTTCTGGAAAGAAAACGATAACTATAATCCTGCAATCATGAGGTGATGTTCGATTAGTTCAGAAAACAGTGATTCATGAGCCAGAATATCATGGAAAACTAAGACTCGTAGAACATATTGATTGCAATGCTCATCTATGAAATTTTAACATCAATGTATCTAAAACATTATGAAACACATTATTAAACTGTTGAGGGGAAACATATTTTGAAACACTAAGTCATATCCTTATTGGGCAAAAAGTTACAAAATCTGATATTGGGCATAATTTCCTAGTTGGTTAAATAAGTAAAAGCTTCTTCAATAAGAACTCATTACCTTTTCACTAGAAGCATCAATGCGTAAAACAGGTGGCGCATCAATATGATTTTCTCAAACTGGTGTTTCATACGTGTTAATTCTTATTTATATGTGGTGACAGGCTGGCAACTATAATGATTTTCTATTGGTTGTTTAATGCCTACATCTTATTGCAGGAATATAAGTTGTGGATATTGAAAACTATAGAAGAGACCTGGAATCTTTTTCATAAAAAGTTTACTGCTCTCTGGGATGAACACAAGGATGGCCCTGGTGAGGCATATCTGCCAGAAATTTATAATAATGCAGAACTTCATCTGTTGGCAAAACAGAAATATATGGAAGATGTGTTCCATGACAGTCTTGGATTTGGTGCTGCAAAAATGATAAGGTGAGTCACTGCATTGTTTGTTTCAGCCAAGCTCGTTTCTTTAATTTTGTGTAAACTTATCCCGTGTTATTGTGGATCTGTCCTGGGAATTTTGGTATTCTGATTTTCCTATTGCTCTTTGAGCTGATAGAAGCTCACAGCTAACTCTTGTACACAAGACTCTTATGATCAGTAGTTACTTGGTTTCTTGTGGACGTGACTTGGGTGGGGTAACAAATTTATCAGTGGAGTTCAACTCTGTTAGGTGATTGATGGCGCACTGAAGGATTATTTGCATGTCCTGCGAGGTTTAAGGTTTACAGGGAGCCTTGAATCTTCAATAAACCTTTAGCTTTTAACACTACCTTCTTCCCCCGAAATTTACAGGAGAATTGTTGGGGTGGCTCATGTTGAAGACTTCGAATCAATAGCTGAGCCAGAGAAACGTGCGAATTGTGAACGGCAAGCTCTCACCTTTGCAAAACTGCTGCTGAAAGAAAGGCGAAGGTTCAAGAGCATTGGTGAAGTTGTTTCCGCCATTCAGCAGCCTAAATCATGAGAAACTGCTCCTCAAATTTATGATTTTAGATATTGCAAGGATGATTGATTTAAATTGCGATATACAGTAATAACTCCAAAGGACAAGCAGAATGTATTCAAGGGTAATAAGAGATTTCTTCGGTTTTGCGTCCACTAATTTCGTCCAAACTCCTCTGATAATGCATTCATTAGCCTCTAGGCTCTAGCACGTATTTACATAACAGATGTAGTGCAAATGCATGATGTATATGACTTGTAACAATTTTTTTTTTTCGGGGGTTGTCCAGTGATCATCATGTGCAATCTTGAGACAAAGAATTAAGATTGAGAAATTCCGAATGCGGTAAAAAGGAATCAAATATATTGAGACTACAAGCAAGAGGTGCCTTCCTTTGACCAAAAAAAAGAAAAAAGGGGGGGGGGGGGGGGTTAGAGGTGCCTTTCCCAAGGCTTAGGATTCAGAATAAAAAAAAATACTTAAAATAGGTGGTCTGAAATTTGGAATGAGCGAAATTAAGGATAAAAATATCATGGAATTTATTTCGTTATTACTAACTTTTTAGGAGGCCATCCACATCCTTCCATGCATGCTGCATCTAAATGCAACTTAATCCATGGAGTACAGGACAGACTTATTCTCCTATACATAGTTTCATTATATTTAATCATAGCATTTTAGCACGTATGTTTAGTTATTAAATTTAGCTTTGTAATCCTTCCAGAGTCGGTCGACGGACTTGGCCAGCAGCTCAACAAAATAGCTATTGCTATAACCATTTCTCATCTTCTTGTTGAGTTGCGCAACAAAACCATTTTTCAGGCTACTGCAGTAATCAAGAAAGCGGGCGCTGACATCGTATCCTTGATCCCACCGGTCGCCTTGCCCAGGTTTCACCCAATGCTGAGGAACATACCCGGCTTTAAGCCTCACATAATCAGCAATTCCTTCGATCAATCCTCGGGGAGCCTGTCCATTCCCAGTCCACTGCCAAACATGCGTCATCTCATGGTAGAGAACGCCAACAATCCCTCTTTTAACGTCGCCCGAGTAACCTTGGATGAACCTTGCACTTACGTGAATCTCATTGTTGACTGTATAGGCAACACCATCAATGTCGTCAACGAACATGTCAACTTTTTGGAGGTTTTTTCTGTCGGCAGGAGTGTTCTCCTGGAAGATCCTCCATATGAAATTTGTGGCGGAGTCGAGCATTTGCTTGCTGTATTGGACCCCGATGTCCCTCCGGAATCGGGCACCACCTGGGGTGGACAAGGCAGTGTTTGTTACGGTGTATTCCACTGCATGGCTTCCCTGGATAACTGCTGCTAAGAGGATGACCGCCAAAAACGCGAGGACGAGAGTTATTTTTTGTGCCATTGCCGAATGCTGCACTGATTTGTTGTTTTTCGTTACTTTGGTGGGTATGTTTTGCAGTTGAAGTGCACAATGGCTTTATATACCTAGAGTTTATCGCATCCAAAATTGACAAGTTCTTGATAATTAGTGTGTCTGGATAGCTAGGACGTAATGAAAAGTTGTTCAAAATTTCAATTAAAGCTACTTCATTACTTTGATGATACTGGAATGCTATGACCTGCTCTGTCCGGCATTTTACTCCATATTATAAGGTAACCATGATGACTATGACCTCGTCTTGTAATAGTACTGTGTATCGATCGTGTCAATTCCTTTTACTTCCTTAGGAAATGCTCAAAAAGATATGATCCATAGACAAGATGGACAGAGAAAGTCTTATATTCACTTTAATATAATTTTCTTTTTCAATGGACTATGATTGGATATATCATTAATATTCAATGGCTACGTTTGACAATACTTGATAGTTCTGAAGTAACTTGTAATTAAATGTATTCATCAAAGTAAAAGAGACATTATTAATGTTCACTCTCATACATAACGAAAAATTATCCTCGCGTTCACTACTCCCACCATTGTCACACAGTTTGCTCTTCCGCTATCCAGAGCTCCCCTTTACCTTTTTCCACAATATGTAGGATGATGTATTTTGTCAGGTAGTATTAAATTTTTATCAGACATTAGTGTAGAAATGCAAACCTTGACCTAGAATATGATGTTTTCTTGACTTGGTTCCTCTAGTAAATGCCAGAAAAGGCAACAGAAGACTCGACTCTTTGTAATGCCAATTCATTCATGACCCAAACAAAGTAGCCAGCCAGCCAGCCAGCCAGCCAGCCAGTTATATTTGCCATTCCATTAAGCAAAATATGGCAGCAGCTGTAATTCCTAGTGCAGAACAAACATACTCAAATGTATAAGAAATTTAGAGATTCCTTTTCTTTCTTTCTTTCTTTTTTCTTTTTTTTTTGGAAGAGGGGTGGTATAAGATAAATGTAAATGGAAATAAAAGCACAACAAAGTTGATTTACAAAATTTCTTGAAGTTTGAGTGTGACATTGCTTAGCGGAATTTGTTACCTAGCGCGAGTCTCATTCTCAGAATGTATATTTGATTTGATAGCAGCAACATTCTGTCTGGATGGGTGGTGACGTAAAAGAGAGTACCATCAATCACTTGAGTGGGAGTAATAGTTACATGTGCTTGTTCTAAGTCAAACCGCTACGCTGCGATTCGGTCCATTTCGCCGTCTCCGTTTCGATATGTTAAATGTTAGTTTGACAAGGTTTTGTTTTTATACGACAATAAATTTTTGAGCTGTATAAAAGCATAAAGAAGATGAAAAAGAAGAGTAGGAAAGCCCTCGATCCTGCATGAATGTGTAATTGCTTGTTAATTGGCGACAAAGTATTTTGGACACATAAAAAAAAAATTATATTAATTCATTTCTTGTATTGTGCGCAGGGGCTTAACAATGCATAATATAAGCAGCAATATATATTCCATTAAGAGCACAGGGCAGACATATTGACATGCAAAGCTCATTACATCGAGTCAAAGCATTTAGCAAGTAGTAGTAGTAGTAGTATTAAACTTAGTTAGTATTAAATTTAGCTTTGTAGTCGTTCCAGAGTTGATCGACGGACTTCCCCAGCAGCTCAACAAAATAGTTATTACTATAACCGTTCCTCATCTTCTTGTTAAGCTGCGCAACAAAACCATTTTTCAGGCTATTGCAGTAATCAAGAAAGCGGGCGGTGACATCGTATCCTTGATCCCACCGGTCGCCTTGCCCAGGTTTCACCCAGTGGCTCGGTGCATACCCGGCTTTAAGCCTCACATAATCCGCCATTCCTTCGATCAATCCTCCCGGAGCCTGTCCGTTCCCATTCCACTGCCAAACGTGCGTCATCTCGTGGTAGAGAACCCCGGTAATCTCGCTTCTAACATCGCCCGAGTAACCTTGGATGTACCTCGCGCTTACGTGAATCTGATCGTTGCTGGTATAGGCAACACCATCCATGTCATCGACGAACATGTCAACTCTCTGGACGTTTTTTCTGTCTGCAGGAGCGTTCTCCTGGAAGATCCTCCATATGAAATTTGTGGCGGAGTCGAGCGTTTGCTTGCTGTATTGGACCCCGATGTCCCTCCCGAATCGGGCACCACCTGGGGTGGACGCGGCAGTGTTTGTTACGGTGTATTCCACTGCATGGCTTCCCTGGATGACCGCTGCTAAGAGGATGACGGCCAAAGACGAGAGGAAGAAAGTTTTCCGTTGACCCATCGGTGTGTTGATTTTGAAGTTTCGTGGATGTTTTGGATTTGAAGTGCACAACGGCTTTTATTTATATAGAGGACTGGCAGAGGCAGAAGCAGCATGGGGCCAATTTTGCTAATGCAATCGAGTCAAAAATTGACAAGGTCTTTGCTCGGTAGTGCATTAGGATAACCAACTTTGACTATTTGACGAAATCAGAACGCCATGACTAAAAATGTACACGCCGTTAAAGAAGCAAAGGGGAAAGACGAAATAAGTGGAGAAATGTACGTATGCTCATTTTGAAGTATTGATTGGGCTTCAATGAATTGACGATTATTGGACTAAATAATTGTACACGCCCATATATATATATATATTTTTAAACGTATAGTAATACTTGATGGTTTTGAGGTAACTTGTTTCGTCAATGTAACACTAGCATCGATCAAGGGAAACACCAAGCTAGAGGTAACTTGTTTCGTCTTTGTACGCTGTTAAATTTGCATGAGATTTAGATGCTGCCGGCCTTGACCCAGAATGTGAGGTTATCGTGACTCTGGTGCCTCTAATAAATGTCTCTATATATATATAGTTATGCGAAAGAAAGAAAGGAGATCACTTGACTCATTCGTAGCAGCCAGCCAGTGATTAATTAGGATTCCATTAAGCATCTAATGGCAGCAGCCATCATTACCAGCACAAAATTAATATGACCACAAGACAGTCAATTTATGTACTTAAAAAACATTAATCATGTCTTAAAGTATCAACTACTCCCTCCCTTTTTTTATAACTGACGTTTAAGAAATTTGCTCTAGTGTACTTTTATTATCCCCATACAGTATTAATTATTTTTTCACAATTTTACCCTTTTATCTCTCTTTTCCAATACAGGGTTCTTAATTACTACTTTTGGCCTAGTAAAACAGCACTATTTAGTACTCTAGTGAGAGAAAACATTGGTGAATTGGACAATTAATGAGGGTACAAAAGGAAAGTAATGTACAGATTTAAGCAATGAAAAACTTTTCTTAATTGGTGTGCAAGACCTTAAACGTCAGTTATAAAAAAAGGGAGGGAGTATGTGATATGCTTAGCAGAATTTGTCATTCAGCGTGAATCACTATCATAATGTATATTGCTGAAATCTAGAGTTTGTAATATTCTATGTGGATGGAATGGAGGTATAAAGTTACCATTACTTCATAATGCTGCACTACGGCCTGCTGACCAACAAATCACTTAATGTTAATGGGATGCATGGGAGTAATACAGTTGTTGCAGTACCTATTCTAAGTCAACCACTATGGTGCAGATTTGGTCCATTTCTTCCCGGCCTTAGCTTCTCATCACGACTCCGTATAAGCATAAAAAGAGAAGAATGAAAAAGTCCTCGATAATGCGTAATTATTTCATTTTTGACTGGTGAAAACTATTTGTTCCAAAAAATAAAAAAAAAACTAGAGCATCAACGTCAACAGGTACGTACGAGAGCCGCCAGGGGGTTATAGGTACAAATGGGAAAGGTAATACTGGAATTTGAGAAATTATTCTTTAGGATAGGATCAGGAAGAAGGACGGAGTGTTATTGCCGTCCAATTTGGAACACGACATTAATTAAATTTTAAGTCTTGAAAAATTCCTGCGACGGAATAATAATATCGCAAAATTAATTCTTGAGCACGACTTGAAATTTGAAACTTCTTACAATCGACCTGCGTTCTCTTATTTGGTTGTCTGATAGTATATGACGTTGTTCTCGTCTGGTTAATCAAATTATTCGTCATGCCATCATCTGGAAAAAAGAAAGAGAACGAAAAATTAAAAAAGATCTGCTACGTACGTAATCTGCTTGGATGGCCGTCATTTGGTCAGCATGTTTGGAGCAAGACCTTGTGGAAAAAAAGGGAATTTAAATCCCTCCTTGAACTGTAGGTCGGGAGTCGAAACTTCACCTGTATAAGGTTATATACATTTTTTTTTTAGACTTTTCATTCCTTTAGAATAGAATGTATAAGCTTATACAAATATTATTGTTGCCGGCAAAAAAAAAAAAACAGTCAAAGCAAACAAGATCATTCATACAAGTGATGGTGCTCAAGAGCATGCTGACTTGGAGGGTAAACAAATTTAGGGGGAAGAAATAAATGGTGGAATTACACGAAAGTTGAGGATATATAATTGCCACCTTTTTACCAACTCCTAATCCCATCCCAAGGGCCTGCCTACCTAGCAAAGACCGTGTTAGAGGAGGAGAGGCTTATTTTGCACGTACATCTATACATACACATTGTGCAAAGCAAGGCCAAGGCAAACGTTTTGTCTATTATTGGACTTGATTCACATTGAGCGCCAAGTTCTTGAAAATCTTAAAGAGACCGATTTAGCAACACCTTGGAGATTGAGGCTGATCAAGTTCACGAGAGGTTTCAAATTGTTCACGAGAGGTTTTAGCATGAAAAGGAAAGTAGTGGCACTGTATTTGCTGCAGGTCTGCTTGGGACTCTTAATCTAGTTGCCAACGTTTACTTGGTCATGTGGATGCCTTCTTTACTAATTTCTCTGTGGTAGGAAGTGGGAACCCGAAACATGAGAAGCTAATGATACTTCAAATTTTGGAATGGAACATACATATGTCCATGCAAATATCAGACATGTCTAGGGAGATTATGTATACGTCTCTAATAATTAACTGTATTAACAGATCAACCAGATTCTTTCTTTGCATGGGCATCAATTCAGTTGTGGTACCCTGTAAAGTAATATTGCCTGTTGTTGGAAGTGGTATCTCTTATGATGATGCCTTTGGGCTCAAACCTTCATGCTTATTATTACTATTATTATTACTCCCTCCCTTTTTTTATAACTGACGTTTAAGAAATTTGCTCTTAAGTACTTTTATCTGTCGTTTTACTATCCCCATGCAGCATTAATTATTTTTTCACAATTTTACCCTTTTATCTCTCTTTTCCAATACAGGGTTCTTAATTACTACTCCTAGTT